ATAATCTGCCAATAGGTACTCAAATAACCAGAAAATTTTTCGTATTTTTAATTTACAATGAGTACATAACATACCACGGTATAAGAAGAATCGTAAGAATGAAACTCCCACAGAAATTTATAGAACAAGATGTATACTAAATCCTCCAATTAAAGACCCATAAAGTAGTTTCAGTGCTTTCCAACCCACCTTCTCACAGCAGGGAATTAATCCCTCTAGGGGATGCAAACAAACTTCAAAGAGAAGATTATGCCCAGACACTAGTACTGTATAGCATAAGGTTTATACCTAAGTTTGCTCAGATATTTTGGCAGAGATCAGAGTTGCAGATCTAAGACACAAAGACTAATTTTAAGGCAGATTCTTTGCAATCATCTAAATGGCAAAAATAATGCACTAAATAATGTCAGAAAAAGACAAACATAAGTTGTATTAAAAACAAAAAAGAAGGTTGTAGAAGTAGGCAAAAGTTACCTAAAATCAAATATTAAGTGACAGCTCTTTCACTGGTATTAGCAACTAGGAAGTCTTGAATTCCCAAAGAAAGTATGCAGCAGTATTAGTTCAGTTTGTGTACCCAAATTTCATTTGCACAATCTTTGGAAGATGTCCCACTCAGTGTCATATGCCTGGATGCAATGTCTTAAGTAGAACTGACAGATTACATGTCTCTTCCATGGATGTCATGGAATGCTCCTCAGAGCACTGAACATGAGAGTTTATGATACAAGTCTTCAGTAGTACAGACATTAAAAAGCAATTGATTGGAAAAAGAACTGTCTTTAAAGTCTAGTAATATTTCTTACTGGCCTTTCTCACATATGTCATCTTTTTATTGTGGGATAATTGTTTTGGTATTATTTAGAAGTAACTGATCATTTTATAAAAACATGTTTTAGGTAGAGGAATAGCATATCTTAGCAATTTGGTTTTATTTAGTTTCCCAATGTTTAAAAATCATGGATAAAGAATCAAATTTAAGTTTAGCTTTACTGGATATTAATCAACAAAGAGAAAACTAAAATCCTTGATAGATTAAAGACCTAAATGTGAAAGGCAAAACTATAAATTTCTTGGAAGAGAATATAGGATAATAGTTTCATATCAATAGGGTAGGAAAATATTGATAAATTGCAGACAGGAAAATTAAGTTTTGATCGAAGATACCAGAAAGAGAGTGAAAGACAAACCACAGAGTAGGAGAAGGTATCTACAACACACTCAACCAGATAATTAACATACACAGTGTACAAACAGTTTCTTACAAATCTACGAGGAAAAGATAAAAAACTCAGTTTAAAAATAAGCAAGAGACTTGAACAGGCACTTTAAAAAGGAAGATATCAAGAAGCAAATAAGCGTTGGAAAAGCTGCTCAATCTCATTAGCCACTAGGAAAATGCAAATGAAAACAACAAGGAGATACTACTACTACTACAACTACCAGGTTTGCAAAAAACAACAAATCTAACTGTATTAAGGACTGATGAAGATGTTGAGCAATAAAGACTATAAAACACTGCTGGAGGGAGTGTAGACTAGCACAATTAATCTTGAAAAACAGTTTAGCATGATCCAGTAATCAAGTATGTTATATATCCTATGTACATGTGTGTTTACATGTGCCAGATTTATGTGTAATAAAGATTGCAGCAGCATTGCTTGTAATAACAAAAGCTGCAAACAATCTCAAATGTTTTCAACAGTAAAATGAATGAACTGTGATATAATCTATTAGTGTATTACCCTTTGATGAAAATGAGTAAGTACAGATACACACATCAACATGGAAGACTCTTACAGTCTTGGGCAATAAAGCAGCAAAACTACAAACAGAATAATTCTATTCTATAAAATTCAGAAACAGGCATTACTAAATTCAATTTTTCAAGGAGATATACTTATGTGGTAAAACTACAAAGAAAAAACAAAGAAATGAGTATCATAAATGTCAGGATAGTAGTTACTTCTGGAAATGGGAAGGAGAGACTTCTGGGGCACTGGTAACTCCACCTCTAACATTTACAAGGCCTAGGCAAGAGTACAAACAGAGGCCTACAAACCATATGTCTAAGTATTTAAAAAATATGAAACAAGCTAACAAACTATTAAATAAAATATGTTCCATCTTCCTATCATAACTACTTGGAAGGCCAGATTCATACTGAGAATTCTTGGATTCCTTAGAGTTCCATGTAGAAACATGGTTCAGGGAAAACTGGTTACTGGCCCACTGCCCATCTCCGCCTTTTCCTTTCCACACTGCCAGGGACCTCACACACAGGGATGCAGTCACCTCCACCTACAAGTCCAAGTTCTATGACATACTCTACTCCCCACAAACAGATATCCTCAGGCCACCCTTGGAACTAGGGGTGTATATACCAGCAGCCAGTCCACCGTCAGGAGGACAGACCCCAGGGAAGACTCACACAGACTCTGAAAATAAGACTGGGGCCACTGGGGCAAGAAATTCTTAGATCCTAGGTACTCAGTTTGTCTAGGATGAAAGGGTTCAGGCTATAAGTGGGCATGTCCCATTGGCCCCATAGACTCCTTGCCCCATGGAAACGGGCACTGTCAGAAGAGGATCAAAGCAGGGCTCTCAAGCATAGAACTACAGAAGGGGTCCTCTTGCCAGGACCAGAATTTCCTTAGAACCAGGCAACACTGTATGTCTTAACCTGGATAACAATAACATGGGTACTCACTTTATAATTATTAAACTGTACTTAAGAGTTTTACGTATTTTTCCCCCACACATAATGGAATGGGCATCATGTCCCTGCTGATATGATACACTGAGGACACAATATCATGTTTGAAATACTCCTACTAAAAATCCATTACCTGAATCTAATTATGGGGATATAATCAGATTCAAACTCAGTGACTTTCTACAAGAGACCTAAATTCTTCAAAAACATGTCACAAAAGGTAAAGAAAGATTGCAAAACTATTCCAGACTAAAAGAAACTAAATAGATGTGAAAACTAAATAGGTTACGTGATTCTGAATTAGATTCTGAATCAGAAGGGGAAGTGCTATAAAGGATATTACTGGGACAATTGATTAAATATGGATAATTGACATTATATCAACATTAAATTTTTTTCTTTAGATAATTGTACAAAAGTTATTTAAGAAAATGTCCTCATTGTTAAGGAGATATATCCTGAAGCATTTAAAGGTGAAGAGTCACAATGTCTGCAACTCATTCTCAAAAGGTTTAGCAAAAAATACACGTAGGGTGATAAAGCAACTGTGACAAAATAGCAATAATTGATGAAAATAAGGAAAGGGAGTATGCACTTAAATATTCTTGTAACTTCTATCTTTTAAAATATTTTCAAAATTCAAAGTTTTTGAAAAGTAAACTAAAGGGTTAAACAAGAGAAGAGTTAGGTATTAGATGACTGGGAGAAGAGCATACGGTAAAGACTTCTCATTTTGTTCATTCTTCCATCTTATTTGTACTTGTCAAACCTTAGTTCATATTCCCCACAAAACTTCATTTTAACTTTAGAGAAAAAAAATCCTGTAACATTGAATGGGGAAACATTAGCAACTGTAGAAATAATAAAAATGTTTGTCCTTACATCTGTTAAATCATAGCCATCACCAACTGGTTATGGTGTCAAGTCAGCCCACAGAGGTGCTGCTGCATGAATACACCAGGCGTCAGCTACCTCTCTTTCCAATCCAATGGTTTGCACAATGAGTGGTATAACTTAACACAGATATTAACATTCTACTTCCAGAACAGCCATAAGTTTATAACATGTTTCACAGCCTTCATTAGATAATCCAGAAAGTGGAGCTCACACAGTTCTCACCTTTCCTATTAAGAGAAATGCACTCATCTTGACAAATATTGGTGATATTGTGCAAAGCCCTGTAGATAACATGGAGAGATGGGTACAACATGTTCACTGTCCTCAAGAGGGCAACCTAGCAGAGTGAAGAGGACTTGAACCAAAAATCCTGTCTATTCCACACTGTAACTATATGATCTTGGTCAGTCATCTGAACTCTCACATTCTATTTTCTCACAGGTATAATAAGATGCCATCCAACTATCTTTCAGAGTTGTATTGTAAGGACTGACTATATGTCAAGCATGTAGGACAACAGATACTCAATAACAGGTAATTATTTTATGAGTATTATAATCTAATTAATATAATGAAATAGAAAATACACCCACAGTTTTATTGCCAATTATGGGCATAACTACCACTAGAATCCTAATTACTCCAAGTTTCTATTCCAAATAAATTCATTCTCCCTAAACACCAAATAATATATGCAACTGTTGGTGTGTGTGTGGACCAAGAGCTGCTCCCAACATACCTTTGGCAAATTCATCACTCTCTTAGGCACACAGAAAAAAAACACTAGGTCAGAAGGTTATTTTTTCTCATTAACCAAGAAGAATTTTAGGTCAAGAAGTGATTTACTTGGCCTGCATGAGATACTCTGGCCTTATCTAAGACCCTGTTGTCCAGGAATACATGTCCAAATTAGTCCAAAAGGAAAGGCCAGAGAAGGTGCTTCCTTCAACTAATTTCCAAATCTTTTTTACCAGCTGACATAAAATTTACTGAATTAAATCCATTTCAAGTATCTCCTTCCAGTTTAGTGGCAGAGATTTCTCTTTATATTATTTTGAAACATAATTCTAAGCCTTCCTCATTAGTAAGATGACAGTATTTCACACCAAATAGTTGATTTCTGGGTATCTCTGAAAGATACAAACCAAAACCCCATGATTACAATGAATAAAGCCATACTTCAGGGCTGTGATAGCAATGACTCTTAACTTTAATTATTCCCTGAGCTTATCCTCCATTCTCTAGGATGATGTGGGCACAAATAAATGGGAAAGACACTTAAACAGACTTAAAGATAAAAAACAGTTTAGAATATTCACATGTTATCATTTGTAAGTGGTTATCTCATACAATAAACACACCATACCATAATAGAACATGCAAATACCTGAAAGAGTGCCAGCTGTCCTAGGATAGGCCACTTCAACATACACTTCAAACGTGGTCTCTGGATTTTGCCTACAAAAGAAACAGAACGTGATTACTGACAAGGATTGACGCAGCATGGTATAGAATATGCAGGCTGTGGTACAAGCAAGCCTTGATTAAAATCTTTAGCTCCACAACTTAATGGCTGTGGTACTTTGGACAAGTCACTCAACTTCTCTGAGCCACTCCTTCCTAGTCTATAAAATGAAAATACCTAATCAGAAGAATTATTATGAAATGGAAAAAAAAAAGTACAAAAATTATCCAGAAACAATGTCTGGCACATAATAGGCTAGCCATTACTATGATTTCAGAGATGTCATATTTCTAATTTATACAGCCGTATCTCTAAAGCCATTAGCAGAATTTTGAAGAAATACAAACGAAGGCAACACTAACACAAAGTAGCCTTCTCCCTCATATTCTAGGATAAAATATTCATATAATGAGGTTAACTTGCTTATTTACAGGTTTTTAAAGACTCAAACAAGAGAAACATTATCCTATTTCATTAGGCTATTATGAAGACAGGATGCTAATCTAAATGTAAGATATTGTTCCCACATAGAGGGCTTCACCTGCACTGGCAATGCCAAGTATAAGAATGTTCATAATTATATCCTTTTACCTTTTTGTGTCATAAATATTTCATAGCAAGTTTTAAAAAGATCATAGCACTAACAGAATGTTAACAGTTGTTCATTCTGAGTGATGAGCATATCGGGGTTATATTATCTTTGTATTTCCTCTTTGATTCCAAAACTACAATAAAAAGATATTTCCAGATTGAGTAAAAATCATTTAGCAGAAGAAAATGTTACATATTCAAATGTCTATGACTGAATTCTATCTTAAACCTGACAACAAAGCTCAGAGAAAAAAATTTCCGAGTTATCTGATCAGATCTAAAGGTTAATTTCAAACAACTAAATACCTTGAATTTGCCCAATAGAGTCCACTTTTCAAAATAACTATCTCATTTATCTCATTTCACCCTCATTATAATCTATGAGGTATGTGGATCAGTCATTACCCTCACCATTCAGGGAAGGAACCTGAAGCAAAGAGATTAAGTCTCTTGTCGGTGGTCTCACAACTAGTTAGAAACACAGCCAGAACTATAACTCAGACCTCCTGGTGCTCAAATTCTGTGTTTCATTGATTCTAAAGATGAAATTTTCCCCCCACTTGCACATCTCTTACAATTCTAAATGGCAGCCTTCTTTTTCTTTCTTAGTAATATATGTAATAACAGTGGATCTTATAAATAATAGCATTGCAGATTTAATAAAATATGGCAATACTCCCTCTACTTCCTTAGGAGTAGAAAGAAAAATGTGTCCTGTCAATCAGGGAGCTACTTATTTCTCTTGTGAAGGATCATCATTTCCTCACTGAAGGGAAACTTGAGCTTTTGCTTTAAATGAGTAAGAGAAGAAAACAGTTGGCTACTCTAAAATTCAAGGTATTTAAATATACCTTTGTCACATATACGTTTTAAATTAGACATTAAGTCAAGAGTATCTTACTTTAAAAACTAAATAAAAGTAAACTGAACTTCTAAGAAAGCCTTTTAAAAATGGTTTTGTGCTGGGGTTTTTTTTTCCCCTGCAAGAGAGTACAAAAAGACCTACAAGATCAGCAACCTTTGGTCACCAAAACACTGTGGAAAATACCACATGGAACATCCCCTTCATTCAGATAATCTCAAAGTAGAGGGTTTGATGAAAGAAAAGAATGTTCTAAGGTCATCTGAAGAGCATCAGGAAGACTCCTTCTAAAACCTAAAAATATCTTTAAGCCTATTTTGCAACTCGCTGAGTTTCATCTCAGAATTTCATTCCTCTAGGTTAAGATAATGGCTTTCAAAATGTGTTCTAAAGGACCCTAGGACTCCACAGAGATTCCTCAGAGATTGCATGCAGTTTTTACCCAAATTTCCCCTTTAAATTTCTTTTCCCCCATTTAAAAATTGAAAGGAACAAACATGAGCATGCAAAGGTGTTATATACCAAAATTTTAACACTGCAGCTCTGACATGTTATAACCTGTGCCATTCAAGTGTTCTATACAGATCTGCTATCTCTCTAAGGGAAGAATGTCCTAACACTGTCTAAACTCACTGTCTCTGCTTCTCCTCCCTTTCTCTTTAACACACTTCAACCAGGCTACTGAACTCACCACAACCAGGCTTCTGAACTCACCACACCACCGAAACAACTTATCATGATCACCAGCAACCTCCACATTGCTAAAATGTGCCAAAACAGTCAGTTGACTGATTTGCCCTCCTTGAAACACTTTCTTCACTGGCCTGCCAGGGCATCACTCTCAATTGGTACTCTTCTTACCTTACTGGCAGCTCCTTTGCTAATTTCTTCTCACATAAGCTCTCCTACACTTGAACTGAGGGCTGGACCTCTCCCTGTCTACACTCATTACTTAAATGATCTCATTCAGTCTCATGGCTTTAATTACCAAGCAAATGCTGATAAGCCCCAAAGTCCTGTCTCCAACTCGACTTCTTCCCTGACCCCAGATTCCCTTATCCAACTGCCTGCTCAACATCCCCACCTAGATTTCTAAGAAGCATTTCTAATTTAATAAATGGCACTTTTTTCCTTCAAAACTGCTTTTCCTGAAAGCTACTAGTTATTCAAGCAAAAAACAAAACCCCAAAAAACTTGGTATCATCCTTGATTCCTGTCTTTGTTTCATATGCCACAATCAACCAAAGAGCAAATTCTGTTGATTTAATCATCAAAACATATCCAGAATTTCAATGCCTCTCAGCATCCCCAACCCTACCCTCCTTGACAGATCACCAACATCTCACCTTAATCACTGTAAACTGGTCTCACTGCTTCCTCCTGCCCTCCTATAGTCAGTGGATTTCAACTTAGTGGTCAATAACCCTCCTATTTCTAAAGTTCAGATTATGTCAGGCCTCTGCTCAAAACCTCCCAAAGTGTCCCAAATCATTCGAAGTAAAACTCAAAGTCTTAGTCCTAGAGATGGATGGCGGTAATGGTTACACAACAACATGAGTATACTTAATATCACTGAACTGTACACTTAAAATTGCTTAGGCTTTTAAACTTTATGTCCATTTTACTGCAATAAAAAAAAATGAGGAAAAAAAGTCCTTACAGGGTCTACATGATCTGGCCTCTGTCCACCTCTTCCATCTTTCATACCTCTCTCTCCTTGCCCACTGCACTCCAGCCATACTGGCCCTCTTTCTGCTTCTCAAACACACCTAATTCAGTCCTATCTGGAGCCTTTTGTATTGATCTTTACAGAGGTGGCTCCTCCTGTCATTCAAAACACGGCTTATACCTGACCTCCTCAGAAAGCCCTTCCCCAACACACTCTCTACCATCTAATTTCTATCTGCATATCATACGAATCACAGTCGTATTTACTGTCAGTCTCCCTCCTCTAAATGCAAACTGCAGGAGAGCAGGGATTTTGTCTATTATATCCACCAGTGCTGTCCAGGCACCTAAACGGTGCCTGGCACATAGCCGGAATCAAGTAACTGTTGAGTAGAAAGAATAAAGGAAGAACAGCCTAGCCTTCCTGGAGCCTAAAAGATTTCAATAAATGATGGGAGTGATTATACACTTTTGTGGCTCTCAAACTTTAGTGTGTTAAAAGATTTCTAGCCCCACCTCCAGGGTTTCTGGGGTAGGACCCAAGTATTAGCATTTCTAATAAGTAATAGTGGTAATAGTGATGCTGCTGGACTAGTGAGCACCCTTTAAGAACCACTGATTTAGTTAAATGGAATTCTCCTTCCAAATAATTGGCACATATAACATAAAAATAACATAAGGTAGACCTCAATAATCCATCATTTCAATAGAACTTTTGCAATAAAAGATAGATTTCAAAGAAAAATGGCATTTGTAGAAGCAATGGAGCTTGCTACTCTTCTATTGCTATCCAGTTACTGCCTCATTCTAATAAGTAATAATAAAACTACCTAAGTTTCTCACTCAGTTCAAATAGCTGCCAGAGTTCTACTAAACGAAGTCAAAGATTATGATAGTCTCTTAAAAAAGAAAAGCAAAAAGCTAACTAACACACTAAAAACAAATTGGACTACATAAGTCATAGTCATGCTTATCCATGATTATTCACATGTTGCATTACGGAAGTGGTGACTAATGCTGTTGACAAGTTATATAACATATCAACAAATATACAGACGTTATTTTAAGGGCCAGTGAAGCCAATGCAGGTGTAAGTATTTTCTATTTCTCTGGAAATCAAAAAATAAGTTTTAAATGCAAATGGTCAAGCAACTCTTACTTAATATTTTCATTAAGTCTGTAAACCACTAAGATTATAACAATTTCCAGAGAATCTCTGGAACTACCTTGAGACTACTTATTTCCTCCATTACTCTTTAAGATGCTCAATATTTTTAACTACTTGGCTACAGGAAATGAAAATCCTATTTCTATCCTATTAACACTCACCACTAATTCAGTACACATAACGATGCTAAGAATACCATATGACCCAGGAATCCCACTCCTGGACTTGTATCCAGAAGGAACCCTACTTTAGG